CAATTACACCACGTAAAAGATTATTCAACACATTCATAACTTGAGACTCTATGTCAAATCGAGACAGGAATCAAATACCCAATAGTCCCTTTTTTACATCCCTACCATCTGAATACTTCTTGTGGTCACAATAAAATCATCATATGGTCACCCAGCCATTCATCGGGCTACAAATTCCACTCATAGGGACACTACTATCGGATATATGAGTCCAATTGTACAAGTTCACACAACTGAAACTATTGGGCCTAAGCTGCGGTCTAATCCTGGCCTCAAGTCCTCCAAACTGGCCCATCACCAAAACACAGAATACACATTTTGAAACTCGTTCATAGAATAACAAGCCGGCGATGCACAGCTGATACCGAGCGCTCATATGCGCATACGAATGCGTGGAGGGAATTCAAAGAGTTATGTTTCAAGTTGAATCAATTTCGCACGATAGAATACAAGAAAGTGAAATTTTTCCTAAGGGTTCGGCAGCCTCTCGAAGATAAGTACAGACGTCTCCGTAGCGATCCACAAGACTCTACTAAACCTGCTCATGACTCGTGAGACCTATGTCACCTAAAGCTCTGATACTAACTTATCGTGACCCAAAATCTGACATGTCGTGATGGTGCCTATCTCGAAACTAGGCAAGCCGATAACATCAATAACCCCCAATTTCCTTTAAGTTTGAAAAACATAATAATTTGAGTTTAATAAAAGGCCTCACAATTTCCGATACAAACATTCCCAAAACCTGGTGTCACTGAGTACATGAGCATCTAATTATGAATAAAAGTCTGAAAAATACGGTCTGTAATAGTCTGAGACCAAATACAGTAAATAAAGAGATAGGGAAGGAGAGGCAAGGTCTGCAAAATACGGCAGCTACCTCAGAATCTCCGAAAAATCAGTTGTGTGAAAGAATCAACACCCGCTATATCCGGGAATACCTGAATCTGCACACGAAGTGTAGGGTGTAGTATGAGTACAACCAACTCAGCAAGTAACAATAACAAATAAGGAACTGAAGATAGTAACGAGCTACACAGTTATGGTTCATTTTCAGTAATTCCAGCAAAGAATAGACATGCTATCAAATCTGGCAGTTTAATGTCAAATCAATTTTTATACAGTTCATGTTCATGTAATTCGTATATAAAAATCTTTCAGAGATTTCACAACAATGACAGATAACAACTAAGTGCAATAACAAATGGAAATCAAGTACAACTTCTCAGGACAATAATCACTCACTGGGCTCCCAGCCCTCATCACTCACTGGGCTCCCAGCCTTCATCACTCACTCTCAATGGGTACCTGCGCTCACTGGGGGTGTACAGACTCCGGAGGGGCTCCTACAGCCCAAGCGCTATAATCTGCACGGACAACTCACGTATTTCACGGACAACTCATGTGCCATAATACAAATATCTGGATCTGCACGGCCAACTCACGTGCTGCATGGCCAACTCACGTGCTATAGTATAATATAAGGATCTGCACGGCCAACTCACGTGCTATAGTATAATATAAGAATCTACACGGATAACTCACGTGTTGCACAACCAACTCACATGCTATAGTATAATAACTCACAATCAGGCCCTCGGCCTTACTCAGTCATAAAGCTCTCCAGTCTCCCGGGCTCTCCACAATAATAAAAATCAGCCCAAACAATAATGATATGATACATCAATAATGAATAATAGAAACTGAGATAAAATCTTCAGACTTTTGTATAGAGCTACATAGATTATAGCAGCTTGTGACTTAGTGATATTCCGGGTTTTGGGAGAAACTATTTTGTATATGCCGAGTGGTGCTATTCTTGGCTATTTATAATATGTTGTTTATCTTTAAAATATTGTGATTTCTTTAAATTTTTTGCAATATTAGGCTTACCTAGTCGTAAAGACTAGGTGCCATCACGACCCCTTGCGGAGAGATAATTTGGGTCGTGACAGGGACCATCAAATTCCGGTTCCGAGGTCGTTTACTAAAAATATTGACCCAAGTAAAACTTAACCCTTTTAAACCAATAATAAGGAACTAAGTGTTCTGAATTTAACCCGAACCCTTTCAAGTCCCGAACTAACCATCCCCACAAGTCATAAAACAGTAAAGGCACATATGGTGAGTCTTATTTAGGGGAATAAGAATCTAGAAAGTAAAACAATCGGTTGGGTCATTACTCAACCCAACCTTCGGACGAGGATACTGAAAGAATATGGTTGGAGGTTGTTGGCGGTCCAAAAAAGGGGAAGGTATACGGGCTTCCTAAAAAAGAATTCCATCGCTACAGGTGTGTAATTCAAGAAAAAGTTTCTTCCTCACAGGGCGAGGCGCTTAATAAGGAGAGCCTCTCGGCTATGCAGGAGACAGTGACAAGGCTTACATCCCAGCTAGAAGTGGCCAAAGAAAGAGAAAGGCTTAGAGATGCTCAAATCCTTGTATGCAAGCTCATATCAGAACTTTCCTTTCTAATCGAGCTTTTCCATTGCCTCGGTCTCGTGAGTCCTCGCCAAAGGCTCGACCTCCACGTGATCGTTCCTCCCGTCCTCCACAAGATCGTTCTCTATATCGTCTTGTAGATGAAAGTTCATCAGATGGTGAGGATGTTGTAGAAAATACCCCTTGACCAATACTTTGATATACTTTGAACTAGACTAATAGAACTAGTTTTGAATTAGATTGAACAATTTTGAACTTGTTGTAATTACTTAATTTTTTCTTGGTTTTGAATTGTGATGTTTAATTGAACTTTGTTAGTTTTAAAGTATTAGTTGGATGTTTGGTTGGATTTGTGGTGAATTAGGGGTTATTTGTGGTGAATTGGGGGTTATTTGATGTCAATTGGGGGTATTAGTAAGCTGTTTTTATTTGGCATGTGGTGTAGCTACCAAAACAGGCATTTTTCTACCAAAATTAATCCTAGAAAACTGACCGACCTTGGTCGGTAACAAATTAAAAAACAATTGTAAAATACCAACCAATGTTGTCGGTAAGATGGTTGTCATGTCCAGATTACCGACCAACGTCGGTCGGTATTATTAAATTTAATTATTTATAAAAAAATATAAATTTTCTAGTACCGACCAACGTTGGTTGGTATATAAAATATTATAAATTAATTTATTTTTTATTACCGGCCAAAGTTGGTCGGTAAACAAAATTATTAAATTTAGAACACCAACCAATGTTGGTTGGTAAAATTAAATTATTAAAATAATATTCTGACCAATATTGGTCGGTAATTCAATTAAATTGTCAGATGGTCGTGTAGAGCATACCGACCGAAGTTGGTCGTTAATTTCCGACCGACTTTGGTCGGTATGCTTTACCGACCTTCAAAATACTGACCACACGTAAATGGTCGCGTTTTGGACAATTATTGGCCATTACCGACCGATATTGGTCGATTTTTTCGGACGGTTTTACGCGAATTTTTAGTAGTGATATAACTTCTAAATGCTATTCAATTTTGGGATTACTCGTAGTATTACGCTACTCTTGAGCACCTCATTACATGGTAGAGAAAATGATAAAAAAGGAGAAGAAATTAATACTCCTATCCAGGATTATAAGTTCATTTTATACTCACACTGGAGATGCACAAAGTAGAACAGTGATGACATTTCCTGCAAATTAAAATCAAACTCATGTCACCATAAAAAAAAAAGGGATCAGCGATATATGATACTCATGTAAAGATAACTCCAACAACAGCGTATTGAAATTAAGATAAAATAACCTATTATGCCAGCAACAAATTCAGGTTTAACCATATTAGTGATCGAATTAATTTGTCTGAAGTTTTAAATGATAGTTTTACACCAGCTAAAGCTGATAGTAATATTGAAGGACAAAAAGATGTAGAAAGAGAAGGTTGAAATATATATGGTGGCTTTGGAATGTGGCAGAAGAGAAATTTGCTGAAGATGACATATATAATGTTTTGAAGAACAAATGGTATGGGATCATTTGCCTACAATTTGTGTGCGGTTGCGATTATATGTTCTTTGTTCTTCCGTATGTAGTATATATATATGAGGTGTAAGAAATTTTTGTCTTTTTTATTTAACCAAGGTTGTCTTTTTTATGCCACCGATGATCATAGACATGCTTGCAATTTGTTTTTACCATGATATCTATGTTTCGTCAATTTTTGTATTATGTCATATGTGACACTCAAATAAATCTCAATTTCTTCTTTGTTTACTTTTCTAATCATGCAAATAGGTTCAAAACCAGACAGATACTGAACAAGAATATATATGGTAAAGAATTTCCGTTTGCGTTCTGTGTATTTGAGTTGCCTTTGTATTGTTCTTTAGCTGCTTGTACACTTCTTGTAGGCCGAAGCATATTATATTAAAGAAATTAAAAGAAAAAGGACTTGTCTATCAAGAACTACCATAGAAAGTTCCTTAAAATGGTATGGTATGCTTGCTTCATCAGGATCTTTTCCATCTTATCAAGCTTCATGTACCGTTTTCTTATAAAGGATAAAAGATGCAAAAGTAAATGAGGTGAAGCAATTTTCTAGTCCAATCGTAACAAAACATAGACAAGTAGATTAATCGCAATAAGTTGCGGGAATTTAAATAATTGTTCGAATCATGCCTAAATATCAATTAAGACACAGAAAATATATCAGCTTAGTGGGGGGGAAAGTTTGCAACTTAGTTTAACAAAAATAGATAATATTCAATACAAACAAAAGCAGGTTTTTCTTAAATAAAAAGAGTGCATGAATACTCAAACGCTTTTGCTTCAGAAGTTGCATATAAGCAGTATCATTTGGATTCTTAAAAAAAATACACTGAGGTCTGAGGATTGTTTTATCAACTTTGACTTGCAGCATGTCATTATATCAGCAAGCAATTAAAAAAACACTTACATCATCTTCTCTAATCAAATGATTCAGGTAAAGTCCTGCAGATACGGAACAAAAGAGTAGACGCTGAGTTTGAAGTGCAAAAACTTTACTTGGACAACGACAAGCAACCAATGCTAATGCAATATGAAATTTAATCCAGATAACAAAATACATAAACAACAGCAACCCACAAAATAAGGTACTGTACACTTTTAATCAGTCTGTAGAAAGAGTATACAAAACAACTTTCGTCAAAAAAGTACAATACTTTAAAAGAGCCAAGTCAAGGAGATAAATTTGCTACTTCATCTTCAATTACAGAGAGCACTGTTGTTGCCTGTGCTACTCAAATTCAGAATATCCAACTTAAAAAAGAACTGCCAACTGTACCATCAGGGACGCATATATAGGCCGTAGCTGGCTGCACCCTAACAAGAATTGAAGTAACAAAAGTATTTCCCCAGTATCTCTGTATCTTGAATAAGAGGCCCGTGATTATGCCTACCAAGCAAAGCCTCTACATACCTGTGAGAAGAAAGTCAGAAACCCAAGTAAACAAATTTGCTACAGCAAGCAAGCCTGTTATTTCACTGGTTCTCTTGCTCGCCAGGACGACGATATGGCAAGTATCTGTGGTCTTTTGAAGCATTCTTGCGCCTTTTCTTCTCAATGTATGCTTCCAGTTTGCCAGACGCCTTGAGCTCTTTGTATTTCTCAACAAGTTTGCGCTTCCGAATTTCAGACTTTTTGAGGTAATAAGGTTGTTTCCCTTGCTTAGCAGCTTCTCTCTCTTTCTTCTTGTGCTCAGAAAGAATCTCGCTCTCGGTGTGCTTCACTCCTGCTGATTTCAATTGTTTGTCAATCCAAGTAATGCGATTTTTCAGTTCACCAACCTCTTCTGGATCATTTGATTTCCTCATCTGTTTCTTCAGATCCTCTTTTTCTGCTGGAAGATCATCCTCATAAAGAAAATTATATCTCTTCTTGAACCCTTCTTCGTTGAGCTGACCGCATAAAGGCTCAAAGCGAGGGTCACGAGTAACTTTTTTAGGAACTTGGATGATTTCCCTAAATCTGCTCACTCGCTTCTTGCTACTCATCTCCACTGGCCTGTTCTTGTTTGCTCGGCCACTTTTTCCTTCCGAATTGAACTTCCTATACACTGTATCTGACCCATCGGACCGTGCTCTCAGCAATTCCTCAAAAGTCACATCAGCAAGCTCCTCCTCTAACTCCTTCTCCTCCTCATCTTCAGACAAAGATTCATGTTTGTCAGAGTCATCAAATTTGATTTTACTTGAACTTGCAACAGCTGCCTTGTCGTTTCTCATTTCAACAATTTGATTCCCTTTGAGAAAAAGAACTTGAGAACATTGCTGCACAGAGATGGAGGGGCGTAAGCATACAACACAAACCAGTAATTAAACCAAAAGAATTTGTACTCTGTTGCAATACAAAGTAAGTCACGCTAACTTCAGAAAACATGACTAAAATGCAAGTAAGCACTAAAATCTAAGTCAATTAAGTTTTCCTTTGATGACAATGGTATTTGGTCCAGCTTGCAACACCTGCAGAGGTATATGCATTCAACTGAACCCAGCTTTTTTCGACAGAGCATAGATGTACATGTGAAAATCATTAAAATTTTGATAAATATTAAATTATGAACACATAATTTCAAAGTACAATGAGTCAGTTCTAAGAAATTTAAAGGTTGAAATCATCAAGTGTAAATCCTCGATCCACCTCTGAGCACCCAGCTTGACTAGTCCACCAAGCAGCCTACTACCTCCCACAAGCACAAGTCTAGACCTGCCCACAAGACTGTTGTAACTAAAGATGTGAACTTGATATCTCCAAGTTATTACTCTACCCTTCAGGACTTTTAAGTCAATTAATTAACAGCTAGGATTCATTTAAAAAGGAGAAAAAGTAAGCTTTTCAAAAGAAATAAGAATTGAAAAGCCAGCACAAAAGTGTCACTACGAAAAAAAGAACAAGCTTTTCATATCATAGCAAAGCAAAGTCATGGTTTTCCTATCTTCAAAAGTTTAAATGTCCCATACGCACAATACCTAACCCCCAAAAAAGGACTAGCACTCGTCTTGCTAATTCAGCTAATATAAATAATGCTTGAAGCAAAAAAGGCAATAAAGAACAAGGAACACATACACACATTTTAATGAAACAAAAATTAATTGAAAGAGAGGAGCAGGTTCTTATTTTAACTTAGCATCTTCAGTGAGAGCCTAAACATTAAGCGTATTGAAAAAGTCATGCTGGAATTCGTAGAGCCTATCTTCTTAACAGGAAAACCTGAAGCCTAGAATTAGTAACTCACGTCGTCGAATGGTGTGAAAGAAACTACACACTATCATAGTCATGTTTTTTATAAAAGAAAACATTGTTCAAACGGCATGCGAAACATGATGTCTGATAAACACATCCAAGGAAACTAACAGCAAACCAAGAATAGCAACCAAATCACAAACATATTCAAAAGAGCTAAAGAAAAAGATCACAGACCTTTGTGGCGGCAGTGAACGGGGACTTTCAGGCTTCAGATATACTTTGCGAATTAAACAGATCTCGTCTAAGACCGAAAATAAAAAGAGACCCGAAGAAAAGTGTCCAACGTTTTTCTTCTCAAAGAAAGCGATGAACAGTGGAGATTAAAAAGTAAAAGCAGCAACCAAAAATTATGAATTTGTATCAGTATTCTTGGCCGTGCAGGGTGAGATTCCAAAGTAGTCCGCGGTTGAGAGCTCGAGGGTCCATTTATTGGGCTAAAGTGAAGGATTTCGTTTGGGCCTGGTGGAGGGAGAGGCTTGGTCGGTTGGGCCTGAATTACTGGACTTCGTGTTTTGGGCTTGAACTTAATAGAAATTTCTGGTGGCTTTGGTTATTTTATTGAGGATTTTCAGAAACCACTATAGTTTAGTGGCTATTAACTTCCTATAGCTACCATATATATATATATATATATATATACACTACCGGACTATATTCGCGATACTGTATTCATGAATACAATCGCAGAACTCGCTTAATAAGTAGGGAGTCCAGCTGTTTAATAAAGGAAAGAGGATCAATTAGCGTGTATCACTCCTAATTTAACTCAACAAATCAATTCTACAATTTGGTTATTAGTGTGTTGTATTCTATGTATTCGCGCGACTGTATTTTATAAATATAGTGAGGTAATCCGCCTAAAAATAGGGATTACAGTTGTTTAATTTTGTATTCCATGCAGTCGCGTGACTGTATTTATAAATACAGTAAGGTAATCCGTCTAAAAAATAGGGATTACAGTTATTTAGTTATGTATTCTATGTATTCGTGCGAATGTATTTATAAATACAGTGAGGTAATCTGCCTAAAAATAGTAATTACGGGTGTTTAATAAGGGAAAGCGTAATATTGAATTTTATTCAATTTCACCTTATTGAATTCAGGTGTATTAAAACAACAAAAAATCAAGAAACATGGTGTATACCGTTCTATTCAATTCGACTGTATAAATTGTATTCAATTCACTAATATTCATTATTCATTATTATACATTGTATTCAATTTGCCATATTCAATTCGACTATATTCAAATAAAAAATATCACAAAAATAGTGATATTCGGTTGTATTCAAAAAATACAAACCTTTGGAATACATAAATACAAGCAAAAAAATATAATATTTTTATACAAAAATACAACATATTTGAGTGTATTTGTACAGAATACAATGTATTTGTATCATTGTATGTGACTCAATAGCAAAGAAGAGAAGAAAGTTCGCTGGAGATGGCGTTTTTCGGCCAAGCAAAATACTGTATACATTATTAAAACTAAAAATGGAGACGAACAAAAACCCGACCCTCAAATCTTCTCTGGCGACTTGCTTCAGATTTCCAAAAGCTCAATCCATAGCCATGGCCAAATCTATTCACCTACTCCCTCTTCGCTTCAGATCTATTCTCTTCGCTTCAGATCTATCCATGGCACGATGGAAGATTTGATACATTGTATTCAATTTATTCAAAACTAAAAGTTCCAGATCTATGTATCATTGAAAATTCAGAAAATAAAAAAAAACGAGACAAAAAGGAAAGTCCACCATCGCCACCAAGAATGGCTGCTACGACGACTGTCTTAATGGAAACGGGAAAGAGATTTGGGGGAGAAGAGAGAGGATTGACAATCTTGTATATATATATATATA